CTGCTGGTCGAAACCAGCCAGGAGGGACACGGGTCCAGTAGACAGGTGGAGGTACTTACAGCTCCCATGGCCTTGTCCACCTCCTCAGGAGTAGCGAGCTGGAACTCGCTCCAAGAAATCCAATCAAGGCCTACTCTCAGCATCTCTGCAGGTACTGTCCAAGTGGAGTCCAGGTCTGTCCGAATCTGAGCAACTTTGTCCAACAGAAACTGAACAAATTCCTCGGCTGTTCCCTGCAAGGGTTCACCTGCATCCCTCCCTTTCAGGAGGGAGCGGGTTATCCTAAACAGGGTGGCCGGGCGTGATTCTGATGACGCAATGAGAGCGGAGAAATGCGTACATTTAGCCGCCCGAATCGCCACTAGATAAGTCCTAATAAAGGCTCTTAATTGTGTTCAGTCAGATTCGGATTTACTGAAAGAATGGCTCCTGGCTATAGGGCTAGATTATTCTCTCTGCATTAAAAAAATAGATAATAATATAATTTGACCTTGTATTCCCTCTCTCTTTTTCTCCCACAATACATGCAGGGTCTGAGGCAGTAGTTACCAGTCCGGTTCATACACCTGTGGTTACCCCTACAGCAACACCCCTAGTAGCCTCACCAAGCCCTCCTGTATCAGTCCGTACCCTGGACCCAGGAGTGATGAAAGGACAAACCCCTCCCAATGCATGGGGCAATACAGAACTTCCTTTGGAAGAAGAGAAGCCAAGTCCACAGAGCGAAGAAGATTATAATCCAACAGCTATGTGAGTCCTCCACAACTTTAATGACTCTTGCAGCCTTCAACTGCAAGAATAAGATACAGCCAAAAGAAAAGTAATACAAAATTAGTTTTTATGCCAAGTTGAAATTGTCTTTCTGGCATTTCTACTTGGCCAGGTGGAATACAAAGAGGCTTTTTAAAAAATATTTTGGAATATATTAAGCCTTGCGTCATATTATAGCATGCTCATCTCTGTGCTGCATTTACTCCAATGCTATAACCCCAAAAAATATAATGAATTTTAAAGAATAGCAGGCCCTGGGTTATTCTCTTCAACAAACTAGCAATGGTTTTTAAAGAAATCCAATGGAAGAGAATATACAGGTAGTCCTTGACATGCAACAGTTCATTTAGTGACTGTTTGAAGTTACTGAACGGCACTGAAAAAAGTGACTTATGGCACTTTTCACATGACCTTTGTAGCTGCCTCATGATCACATGATCAAAATTCAGACGCTTGGCAACTGGTTCATACTTGTGACCGTTGCAGTGTCTCAAGGTCACGTGATCCCCTTTGGCGACCTTCTGACAAGCAAAGTCAATATGGAAGCCAGATTCATTTAACAACTGTGTTACTAGCTTACCAACTGCAGTGATTTACTTAACAATTGTGGCAAGAAAAAAACTGGCATTGTGGTCGTAAGCCAAGGACTACCTGTATATAGCTCAGGGTTTAATTGTGAAGCTCTTGGTGCTCCCTGGGTTATTGTTTGTTTGCAGATGTTTCATTATCCTACTAGGTAATATCTTCAATGTAGGTGAATGTGGGGTTTGCTCCCCCCACATTATATACTATTGCTTTCCCTTCCAGTGTTTTTGGAGCTGTTCTTTTCTCCTTGATTAGAATATTGTTGTCTGCTTGTCTCATAATAATCCTTACTTATCTGGATGTTGATTGCCGGAGAGATTATGTTCTAGTCTTTTTGTTTCCTTAACTGTTTTTTTTAATTATCTCTTGATTGGTGTGTAAAGTTGTTTTATCCCTATGTTTCTATTGATGGCTAATTTGTCTAAATGCCAAGCTTCCAGGAATTCTGTAGGGTTTTTTGGGATTTAGCTTGGTCTAGGATGCTCACAGTTTTCCAGTTGAAACTGATTGAGTCTTCCCATGTTTTGGAAGATTAAGAATTTTTCATTGGGTCTTCTGACTGCTGGTTGGTTTTCATAGGAGCCCTCTGCTAGTCTTCTGCCTGTCTGACCTACATGGTGGCTATGACAGTCCTTACACTGCAGTGCTGTAAAGGATTCCTGTTTTTTCTTTCTGGATTCCTTGGTCTTTTGGTTTACTGAACATGTTTTGGAGAGGTTTGTTCAGTTTGTGTCCTGTGGTTGATGCAGCGTGCTTGTAATAATCTGTTAGCTGTTTCTGAGATATCTTGATCGATGGCAATGTTGTCATTCATAGCTTATGGTTGGTTGTGCTGTAGTGTGTTGAGTGATCAGGTACCTTTTGATAAAGTTGCATGGGAATCCATTTTGTTAGGAGATAATGTATAGGCAATCTGTTTATCTTTTCTGATGCTTTGGGTAGCTATAGTGTGTTTGCATTCATTTGATAATGTTCTTATGGGAGATTGACTTGTTACTTTGGTAATGGAACATATGGTTAGTGTGGGTTGTTTTTCAATAGACTTGTCTTTCTAATTTGCCGTTGTTTCCTCCTGCTGATCAGGATATTCAGGAAGGATATTCTTCTTCCCTTCTGAATTTTATTCTTCTGGAGATGTCATTAATTAATGTGTTTTGTCCAATTGTTCCTTTGTTATTATGGCAAAGGTGATGAAGCTGTTGTGTACCCTGTTTCCCTGAAAATAAGCCATCCCCCGAAAATATTACAACACAGCAGCAGCCATGAGGTGACTACGCTCGCCACCTCCTGCACCTCAAAAATAATAAGACCTTCCCGAAAATAAGGCCAAGTGCTTATTGGGGGTGGGGGGGGGTCAAAAGAAAACAAGACCTTGTCTTATTTTCGGGAAAACATGGTACATACCAGATCCACAATTTTGGTTTTATGGGAGGGTCATAGTTTATGGGAGGGCCATAGTTTATACATACTGCATTAGAGTCTCTGCTATGAGTTCTGGTTTGTTGGTATATTTGTCCATCAAACTGAAAGGCAGTAGCAGAGATTGGTGCGGTCCATGATTCTGGACATTTTGGTCTAGTGTATTTGGCTAGATCAGGTGAGTAGTATAGTACCACTGCCATGGATTCTTTCGCTTTTTATAAAAAAGTGCAGGGGCTTTGAAAGAAACCACAATTTCATTTTTGATTTCTAGTCCACTGTAGGACAGTGATCCCCAAACTTTGCAGCTTGGCGGCCCGGGGGCGCGGAGAGAAGGGAACTGGGCCATGCAAGCGATTGGCTAGCGCACACCCGCATGCGCAATTCAACTTGTGCGAGTGCAGGGACGGCACGCACGTACATACACGTGCAGTTCAATTTGTGCAAGTTGAGCTGCGTGTGCATATGTGCTGGCCTGCCACTTGTGCAAATCAAGCTGTGTGCATGGGCTGCGACCCGGGGATTGGGGACCCCTGCTCTATGCAACATTTAAGCTTTTTAAATAAATTATTTGGCTATATTGAATGCTGGGAGCCCTGCTAATGATACAAGAGAACAAAGAGGTATGTTGTCATTCATGGAAGTGTAGGAAGATGGATCCACAGCTTTTCACCTGCCATTGTTCTTCTTTTGTGATTTGATCTTTCTTAGTTAAGGATTAAGGATGCTCTTGAACAGGTTGTCTAGTTTCTGTATTGGGTTGGTATTTTCTAGGATGTAGACTTATTTGTCCTCCAGTAATTCTTTGGCTTTTTGTATGTATTGTATTCTGTCCATGATAATTGTGATTTGACCCTTATCTGCTGGTAGGATAGTGAAGCAGCATTTTCAAGAAATGCTAGCAAATATGTGCTAAAACTATATGTCAAAAATATGAGAATTATTTTAAAGAAATGCTAAAAAATACATGTCATCTATTATTTATAAGGGTTTTCTTTGGTCATTTTTAGTATAATGTCCGTGGGTAAGCATGAAGAGCCAGAGATTTTGGTACTGCCAACCTCTCCTGAGTTACCTAAGACCCACAGTCCACTTCCTGCAGAACCTAGAGCTCCATCACCTTCTGTGGAAACATCTAGTTCTGACCCTTCGGAAGAAAGCAGTCCAACCACTACAGAAACTGAGGCTCCGGACAGGCCCATTTCTGAAGGAGAAATTCTGTACAGCTATGGTCAACTGCTAGCTGCAAAAGGTGATGTTTTTCTTGACCTTCTATCATTCCTGTAGCGTTTTATTTTTTTTAAGAACTCCAGATCCAAGGGAATCAAGTCCAGACTTACGTCCTATAGTAATTCCAATGGTAGGTTTGTAAGAGATTTAGAATGTTTTTCCTGGTTTTATTTTTCTGGAGAACACAATGAGAGGTTTTACATATTTAAGAAGACTGCTTTGATATAATTCTTGATGTGTTACTCCAGATAGCAAGGGTTGAGAATATTGTGTAACACAATAAAAATACCACAGCTCTGGAAAATGCTTTTGCAACATGAGGCATTCTCTCTTCCATCCCACAGTTTTGGGGTTTGGAATGAAGTAATTGCTTTTGTCTCCCTCATGGGTATTTTGTAACAAGATTGGACATGATACTCTGGCGCAATCACATTTATGAGTCCTACCAATCTGGAAGGAAAAGGAAGAAACCCTTTCAGATTAAAGGGGAAGAGAGAAGATGCCAAACCAGTGGAAGAGTGATTGCTGTAGACTTTGGCAAAAATAAAATTTGAGCCTAATCTAAAGGGAGGATTTTCCTACCCATTTCGAAAATCTGTTTTGCAGATATATTTGCAGACTAAAATCCAGCTGCAATCTAAGTGTTCATTTCATAATTGTGCGTTTCTCATCTTTATAGCTTTGGCAGAAGGTGGACTGTCTTTTCCAAACCTCAGCGATAGTTTGGCCAGCACCCTTCACGATGCCCATGAGATGGTAATAAAATCATTTAAAAACTAAAAACTGAAACAAATATGATGCTGTAGCTTAATGGAGTATGCATTTAAACTGTTTCAAGAAATGTCAATTTTGGGTAAACAGTAAGCATAGAATAGGAGATTGGCTTATAAAATAGAAACATGATGATACTTTCATCCTAGCTGGCCAAAATGGTAACTAGTTTGCTTTCATACAGAGTAAATGTCCATTTTTAAATCCAAGCTGATGGGCTAGGAGCAAATTCTCGGGGAAGCCCAAATCAATGATATGCTTCTTAAGTTGAAAGCAGTACTTCATTTACAACAGTAAAGAGGTGCTGACACAGTAAGTTACAGACTCTGTATCCAACATTTCAACTTTTCTCTATTTTTGTCATCTCTTCCCCCAGTTCTTTCGAAAATGTAGGATAGAAATTGACCTTGCTGTGCACTTCGTTTGAATAGTAATTCCAATATTGTCTAGGAAGCTGTGATCTTTAGAAAACTGGCCCAACATTAGAATAAGGTTGATGCCATAGAGGTAATCCTTGGTTAAGAACCACTTGTTCTGTGACCATTCAGACTCTTGATGGCATTGAACAAGTAGTGGTTAATAACTAGTCTTCAAAATACCAGCTCTCCCAGCAATCTGCGATCATGCAATTGTAATCAGGGCATTTAGCAACCAGCTTGCCATTACAACAGTTGCAGCATCCCACAGTCACACAATGTCAATTTGTGATCCTCCTCCCAGCTTCCCACAAGCAACATCAATAGGGAAACTTGGGTAAGTCTCCCCCATCTGTGCACCTTCCTAAGGTTTGCTGCGCTTGCACTACACCTCCCTGCCTCTTATATACCCTCTCCCATCTGGCAACAGCCACCCAAATCCCACTGAGCTTCTGCTGTGCCTCTTCCCACACCTTCCCTGCCACTCATGGTCACTTGTGTACCCTCTCTCACCTGGCAGCAGCTACTTACCTGCCACCCAGCCTACTTGTTAGCCATTTGGGACTTGAAACTTCCTGCTGGTTTCCCCATTGACTTTAGTTATGGGAAGCCCACAGGAAGTTGCAAGGAGGTGTTTACTTAACAGTCCTCGGTCCTTGCCTAACGACAGCAATGGGAACTGCAGGGATTATTATTGCTAAGTGGTACAGTCTCATGGCATTGCACATTATGACCGCATTGCTTAGTGATGGAAATTCTAGTCCCAATTGTTTGTCATAACTCAAGGAATACCTATATACTTTTTGGGCACCATCCAGGTTAGTCCATATAGTTTGTAGTCATTTCTAGGTATAGGACAAATGAGTAAATTTATCTCAGTGATAGGACCAGTAATGTGTATGCATTACAAAATCCAGATTTAATTGGTAGGATTTTTCCCTACTCAAAGGATGGGAAAGATTGAGTAATGGTCCCCAATCAGATATTTCTAATTAACTGAAATTACAACTCTTAGCTGTTGATTTTGCAAACTGAGAATTCTGGGAATTGCAATGCCAATATATCTGGCTGGTAGAAGATTGGGAATGGTTTTTCAAGAATGGCATGTTTATTAGTTATTTATTTTATTCAACATGGACACAGCCCAACTACAATGTATACATATACATTTATGTACATACAGTATGTGTATATTGATACTATAATAAGGCTTCAGTGCTTTTTCTGATAAGTGTTTTAATGCTCCTATTATTTTTAAGATGCTATTTCATTTTGAGAACCCAGAATGTCAGGAATGCAGTTTATTATGAATAGCTAGGGGGAAAAATAATTATTGTGTTTTTTAGGATTATGATCCTCCCAGTGAGGGACAAGTGATACGGAGACCCCACCGAGGACCCCATCGAGATCAAGTCCTTTCTCTCTTTTCAAAACTGAATCAAGCTCCACTTACTTTGCCTGAAGAGATTTGCCACTCAGAGGTACCATTTATTTCTAAATCTGTTGTAATAGAAATGGGCAAGTTTTTTTTTTTTTTGAAGGAGACATTTGAAGGCGACATATGGAGACTCATTGGTAGTGGAGCTGAAGTCACATAAAGCAAATGTGAAGTTTTGTTAATATTTTTGCTCATTGGTAGCTAATATTTGTGTTCTTAAAAATCATTGAATGTGGGATCATAGCGATGGCTGATGAGTAGAAGATGCCTCTTTGAATACTGACAAACCCATATCTTTTTTCATTTCCAATCACCAATGTTGTCTCCCTCTACTTCATTATTTTTTCTATAAATATTGTAATGTTTTTACTGACAGCAGTTGTTTCCCTGTTTGGAACACAAGTTATTTCATGACCCAACTGTGGTAATGAATCAAACTACTACTGCTAATAGTAGTAATTAATGGTGATAATGAGTCAAATTATTATTATTAAAAAGAGCTTCTGTGCATGCTTGTGAGTAGCTGGAGAAGTCTCTATCTTTTTGTAAACAATAGCAACTTTGCCATACAGTGTTGTATAAGCACCTGGTTACAGAAAAGTCTCTTGTGTCTCTTAAGACAGATTCCTTTTTATAAAAAGAAAAGAAAGGAGATAAAGGTAAATTGATGCTTTTCTCCTCCCTCCAATTCAAAGCTCTTTTTAATAAATAAAGGAAAGCTGACCCCCTCCTTCCCTTTGCATTTGAATTTACCTCCCCCTTCCTTTCCTTGATTCCACTTAAGTGTTACCTCTGCCCACTTTCACAAATGGGAGCCACTTCAAAATGGAGTAGATGTGCAACTCTCTGTCTCTTTCTCTTTAGGATTCTGACAACAGTGCTGGGGAACTTAGTGAGGGTCAAAGACCAAGGCTAACAAAAGCTGCTGAAAGTATCCTGATGGGACACTCTGTTTACATGGGCCAGACTACCAGCCACATTTCTAAAGAATTAACTCAACAGATGCCATCATCAGGACAATGTGACAATGTTGCAGGTATTAGTTTATTTGAATTATTATGAAGTATTCAAACAGATCATAGTATAACTTGAAAAAGTTTCTGATTACCAATTTGCAACATAAAACCATGGGTTTAAAACATCTGGAACAGTGGTGCATTGCAGGCAGTACGGGTGTACCGGTGCCTGCCTGGAGCACTGGGTACCGTTCTGGTACGGTGCTCCGGAGAGCCCACCTGCCTGCCCGCCCGCCCGAGCTCCTTACCTGTATTTGAGCTCTTCAGTGCTTCCGCGCATGGAGCGCACGGCTCCTGCGCGATGTTCCACCGAGCAGCTGAAGTGTCATGGAGGTTCTTAGAGGCGTCCCAAGAGGTAAGGATGCATGCACGCATTGCACTCGCACTGCATGCGTTCATGTGGTGGACCCCAGACCCTGTTGCACGGTACCAGTTGCAATGGAATCCGGAACCTACCACTGATCTGGAAGGGTCACTTCTTAATTCTACATGTTGGGAGATAAGTAAAAACTAATTCCATAAGGTGTGCTAACTAATATCTAACTTATGTAGGGATTATATAGATTAAAGACTTTTAAAAAGTCTGGCTAAATTTAGCTAAGATTTGCTGGCTTTTAGAAAGCAAAACAGAAAGTGCATCTTCAGACTGGCACACATTACTCATTGGAAATTGGAGCAACTATCGCAGTATATTTCTTACGATATGGTTTAAATCCTGAATTTCTGTTGCCAATCAAGCAAGAGCTTAGGCAAAGGACATAGCGCAGTGGGGAGAACCCTTAGAAAGCATCAGGTCCCATCCTTGGCTGTAAGGTAATAAGGTGAGTAAAACCTTTGACTTGACCTTAGAGCTATAGCATCATGAAAGGCCCAATTCTGTAATAGGCACTTCCCAATATTGACATTACATGTTTACATTTTAATATTTTCAGAAGCAAACACTTGAACTAAAAGTATTTTCTTGCTTCAAGAGTTCTTGATTTAAAACAGCCAAAGAGAATACAGTTAAAATAACACACTTAGCCCAGAATACATTTGTGTGTGTGTGTGTGTGTGTGTGTGTGTAAAACTCTTGAATAGTAGCAAGTTTTTATGATAATTCTGTAAAAAAAAGAATACTGTAGAGCGTGGTTATATATCATTCCACCAACAATTTAGGTTAAGTGTCCATATTTTATTTCAAGCTTATTGCTTGCATTATAATTCAGAATTATTAACAGTTAAACAGCATATGAAGCCATCTGGTTATAAAGATTACATATTTTCAGAATCTGACTTTGCACAAATTAAAAACATTAAATGAGCTTTTTTAAAATAAACATTGAGCTTAGATACTTGGAAATAAAAAGCATGTTAACTGATTCCTGGTATTAAAGGTAAAGGGCCCCTCGCACATATGTGCTAGTCATTTCCGACTCTAGGGAGCGGTGTTCATCTCCATTCCAAAGCCAAAGAGCCAGTGCTGTCCGAAGACAACTCCATAGTCAGTGGCCAGCATGACTAAATGCCGAAAGTGCATGGAACCTTCCCACCAAAGGTGGTTCCTACTTTTCTACTTGCATTTTTACATGCTTTCAAACTACTAGGTTGGCAGAAGCTAGGACAAGTAACGGGAGCTCACTCCATTACACAGCACTGGGGATTCGAATCGCTGAATTGCCGATCCTTCTGATCGACCAGCTCAGCATCTTATCTACTGAACCACCACATATCCTGGTATTAAGTAATGGTAATTCTGACATTTTGTAAAGATCAATATTTTCTGTGGTTAATATTTTAATATAAAAACTCAGCTTAGTGTGAATTCCAGGTAGTCCTTATTTATCAATTACCTCATTTAGTGACTGTAAGCAGTTTTGGCATTGATGAAAAAGTAATTTTAGACCAATTCTCAGATTTATGACCTTCACAGGTCTATAAAGCAAAGGAAAGCTGAGATAAGATCATGAGCAAAGATGTGGTTTCACTTAGTGACAACTTCACTGAATGACAAAGTTTCTGGTCCACTTGTAGCTAAATGAGGACTACCTGTTTAATATATTTGAAACAATGAGCAACAGCACTTCTGGCAGGTTTTGTGCAGTTATTAGGTGACGACTGCATAGTTATTAAGTGAGGACTTTAAGCTTATCCTGTCCTGTGAATACCGCATGTAAAAATGGATTGTGTCTGTTGATGGCTGAGATGGGCAGACTCAACCATATTTTCAACAGGGAAAGTGAGCATTCCTAGACCAAACTAAAATCCAAAATACTAGTGAGAGAGGAATAAGATAAACAGGAATTAACACTAGACAAAAAAAAGCAGAAAATAATACTTTAATCATGGAACTACCATGGGGAAAACTACACCCCCACCAAGATTGGCAGCGCACGCTACTGTATGTAAACAGGGAGCAAACCCCACTCACCACAAACCTAGGCTTTCCGCTCTTGTTTCCAAAGCTGGCCCAACTGAAGGTGAAAATTCCCTCCAGCCTCCTTCTTCAAAGGCTTCCTCACCACGTTTTACAGTGCTGCCGCCTGACCCCCATGAAAGGTGGTCTAGGCAAGAGTCAGAGGTGGTGTTCAGCTGGCTCTCTCCAGTTCAGGCGAACCAATAGTGGCAGCTGCGGGAAGCTTTGCCCACCTGCCCAACATAATGCGCGAACAATGCGCATGCACAGACAATCGTGCACATGTGCAGATGAGATGCGTGCGCTCACATTTGCGAACCGGTAGGGAAGGTGAGTGAATCCCAGCTCTGTCAAGAGTCATTGTTTTACATACATACACACAACACACACACACACACACACACACACACACACACACACCCACACCAACCATTCCGAGCTTGAGGATTTTATTCATATCTGAGCTGGCAAGCTGCCAAACATGCCCGGACTTGGGGAGAAGGACCTCTCCTTTTGCATGGTGCGCTGGATCTCAGGGTGACTCGCTCATAACAGCAAAAAGCAGGCTAAGCAGGAGTCATTGCTCTGGGCTGGGCGCTTCAGGAGGAAGAACCTTCATGGCCAAGAAACATTATTTCAGTCAATAACATAAATAAATAGGTAGGACCAAGATGAGGCTATAGTAAAAGTGATTGGGGTTATGTGGAAACTCAGTGAATGACAATGGGATTCTTTGATATGTATTTCTTTAGGAAATTTCTGTGTTGAATACATGTTTTAAATATAAATTTATTCATGGCTATAGATGGTCATAGAAATGAATGTAATTCTGACAGCATAATTTATGATGATAGTTCGAGAGAATTAATGAAGACTGTAAGGATGATGAGATGTTTTAAATATGGGACATACCTGTATTTTTTTAGCATCAGGAGTTGGCCTGGTGAAATATGGTTTGGAAAAAAAAGAAAACAGTGAAAGAAATAAGATTGAAAGTAGAACAATTGTAGGAAGAAAAAGTAATTTCCCAGTATGTACTGTTGTGTCATTGCAATAATTGAGGTATAATGTATAATTTAGGCTTGAAATTGCCCCCATTTTGTGTGATGCAACTCTTTATGAAAACTTTCATTATGCCTTCTGCCAATAAAGTATTTTTAAAAGGTGATATTAAGAGATTTATGACTAAACTTTGTTTATGCCAACATGGACTAGTTTAGGAGTTTCAGTTTCAAAACATTTTCTGTCTATTGGCAAAATTCCCACCAGTTATTCTGAAAAATCATGAGCATGCATGTAAAGAAGTACAGTGAGCTACTTGGTTAACATACAGGGCATATTCAAAATACAGTGAGTAAATGGAAGATTTGCTCCTCTTGTCTGAGAGTAACCTACAAAGAATGTAGATAGCAGTGTTTCAGCCATGGGATCTCACAAACAGTACTGAGCTATCAACCCATCTTTTAGGTGTGCACTGGAAATGGTAACATTTTAAATGGAAACCATGCTTTTAATATGTTTTTAATCTCTCAGGAGATAGTCCTGGTGTTCCTGATGTTACTCACGGGCCAATGAGCATAGCTGAACTTGCTCATGACTCTCTAGGGGCATATGGAAACACCAAGCTGACACCTCAGTTGGATGACTCATTGCAGGTAATACGACGGAATAGCCCTTGCTATAAATAAATAAAACGGTATTTGACTGTTTTAGTATTCTTTCAAATATAGAGTACTCAAATGGATGTAATTGTGCTAATGACCCACAGCCAAGGAGAGGTGTTTCGGATTTTGCAAAAGCTTTTCTGTATATTACAAAGCACCCTCTCTTCTGAAGCATTTTACAAGATTTCATTAGAGGTAGAACCACATGATTTTTTTTTGTGTATTATCCTATTATTTTGCTTCTGAAGTGGTTTTTGACGTGTGATTTTTTTGTCTTCAGCAAAAAGAAAAGAGTTTCTCTAACCTGAATTCACATAGTCTGAAGTTGAATTCAAATGTTACAAAAAGTTTTTTTTTTAAAGTCTCACCTACCATGGAGATAGCTATCTAGTTTCTTTGCACGGAATATTTGCATCCCATTTCTCACTACTCATTAAAAACATAAAGGCACATAATTCGTATCAGTAAGATGCAATTCAAGTGCTGGTTGTTACTTAGAAGGCCTTTCAGGGCATGGAATTGGATTATTTGTGGGATTGCTTCTCTAAATTATGAAGTCCAACAGGACAGGCATGTTTTAGATCCCATTTAGTGAGACCCAGAAAATGGGTGTTTGGAACCCTATTTACCCCTGCAATTCAACTTGCTATAATCCTGCCAACTACTTGGAAAACCTTAGACCTGGCTTGGGGGTTGGAGGTTGGCTTACACCCAAGATATGTTATGGCTTTTGTTGTTTGAATATTGCTTTGATAGCCATTTAGGTGTATATAAGTTTATGTGTATAGTTATGAATCTGGGGTTGCACATATTATTGCCTGTATTTGTTTTTTAAGGCTTTTATGTGCTTCAGCCACTCAGAGTCACTGTGGCGAGTTGGATGATAAAATAAATACAGAACCAAACCATATTGTATGTACATGAGTTGTTAATGTTTTCCTGTATATTTTTTAAACCCCCCAGTTTGCCTACATTCTTAGTATCTTCTTATCCCCCACCCAATCAGATCTAGCCCTGTTTGGCTTTTCAACCCAATTTAGTGAAATGCTGCCACTGGAATTAATATAGTAAAAAAAGATCTCAAAGGCTTAGCATAAACAAGGATTTTGCCACTTTTGAAAGATATCAGGAGCATCTCTTCAAAGAAAACACCCCAGTTTATGAGAGCACTTATTGAGAAATGTTTGGTTTTGGTAGTTGGCGTGGGTAGATCCACAAAATGTGATTTCTCGCATCCTCCATTACTCATTTCAAAGTAAAAAGAATATCTCTGTGTTCAGGGCAAATGTTATAGATCTACAATCTAGTGTTCTGTTTGTTCTGGTTGGCATGAATGGCCATTAGGGATTAGGTCTCATTTGATCAGTTCTGCTTTAATTTCTGCTGGAAAGAAAGCTTGGACAGGGATAAATGTGGAACAATGTTTTTTTTTTAATTCTGTTCTTGAAGTTTTGTTTAATCTTATTTGATCCAGTTAGATATAATATTAACATGTGTTTCATAATTGCCATGCAGACAACGCCCCAAGACGCTTTCCAGGAAATACCAGTGAATTCCAGAATCATCTGTGTAAAACCAAAATCCGAACATACACAGCAGAAAGGTAAATTATCCTGTTACCGTGTTTGAAACCTGTTGTCCTGATCCGTATTGAATTGACAGATTTGGGGGATGTGTGTTGTATAAAATCGAGGGCTGCGTATATTTCTGTCACTCTTTTATAATAAGACACATGAGAATAGGCCAAAGAGTTCCCAGTTCTCTCCACTCTGAACAGGGCTTCCAAGTAACCCAAATCAAAAAGGGAAAGGTCTTAGGTATTAAAAAATGAAATCAGCTGGGTGATCTTGGGCCAGTTACACTTTCTCAGACCTAGGAAGAAGGCAAAGGCAAGCCACTTTTTAAAATATTATCAAGAAAATTGCAGGAACTGGTCCAGGCACTTGCCAGGAGTCAGTACTGACTTGGAAGCACCAATAAAAAGAACAAGAAAAAAGGGAAACTGCATTTATTATATGTTGTTAAAATTCAATGCTATAGATTTTGAGAGAAATAGTGATATTAAAGGATATAAATTGCAGAACCATGCTTCAGTCTCATTTGAGACTCTGAACATTTCAAAATTTCCCGAGGAATAATAATGCAGAGATATCTAGCAGAGTGTAGAAAACATATTTTTGCATCTTCTTATAAAGTTATACTTTTAGGAAAACTGGGATTAGTGGTGGCTCCCATGAATGATCTCTTTTGTTGTAAATCCACATTTGGTGCTAGAGAGAGTATATGGAGTTTTAGCCAATCTGGTTTTGTATCTGAGTTTTGACCACAAGATGGCAGTGGCTTGTGCTTATAAAGGAGGAAGGCTAGGAAGAGAACTCCTCTTCTTACAAAATGGAAAATGACACAGCCAACCAAATTATTCATGATGTTAGTAGTTGTTTAAGGGATAGCTGCTTTGCTGTAAATGCCATATAAAACAGAATTTAATTAGACTGATGTAACAGGGTAACTGGAGATGTTTATTATTTTAGGGTAAGCTAAAGTCTTTAAGACCTAGATCAGTTGGAGATAGCTTCAGATTACAGCTTTTTTCTACATAATAACATGTCCTGTTGGACATAAAGGAAATTATCTTGAAATTAGTAAATGATTAAGAATGATTTTACATTCAACAAATACTCATGCTAATAATATGTTTTAGTTATCAAATATTTATGCTGGAAATTTTTATAGGCTATTCAATATAATATAGTAAATATTATTATTATTTTAATAATAATCATTATGGACTATGAGCAGTATATACTTGTTCTGCAAGTTTATAAAGAATGAAATACTTGTTTGAATCAAAATGTTACAAATGTTACAATTATATTTATACTAGTATAGTCACCAGAATGGCAATGTTAAGGAAAGCTACTAGTAAATGCCTTCAGAAATGTATCTTTAGATATTATGAAGATTACTTTACATTCACTAAGAATACAGTAAATAAAAGTTGTTTTTACCAAACTTATAGTTTTTGGCAGGATAAGATAATCTTTAATTAAGGATCATCTTTCTTTTGGATAAATATAGTTGTGTTTCTAATTTTTTTTTCTGTATATAAAATCCTCGTGTGGAAAATTGATATTCACACACACACACACACACACACACACACACACACACACACACACACAGATATGTGTATAGTATATTTCATTATATGTGTATAATTACATATATAAATACTATATAGTGAAATACATATATAATCCAAAATGCAGGGGAAGTTAATTGATAAAATTAAATTATTGAAAGGGT